AAAACCAACCTATCAACATATAAAAATCAGTCATTTTTTCAAAATTGCAGTTGGATATACTGACATTCAGGAAGCCAAGGCCAGCTTGGGAAACACAATGAGTTCAAGGCCAGCCTGGTGCATAATGGGACCCTATCTCAAAAAAAATTGTCGAAAAGCAAGCTCATTCAAAATGGCTAAAATTAAAAAATAATACCTAGAAATGCATTTAACCAAAACACTAATGATTCCTACAATGAAAATTATAAATACATAAGAACATTGTGAAGAGGACACAAAAAATTAAAATATCTCATGTTCATGAATTGGAAAATTAATATTCAATGCAATTCCTATCAAAATGCCAATGACACTCTTCACAGAACTAGAAAAAGCAAGCATAAAACTTGTATGGAACCACGAAAGACCCTGAATAGTCAAAGCAATCCTGAGCAAAAAGAACAAAGGTGAATGCATTACAATATTCAACTTTAAAACATACTAAAAAGCTACAGTAACCAAAACAGCATGGTACTGACATAAAAACAGACACATAGACCAAAGGAATAAAAAAAAAACAAACCCAGAAATAATCTACATCCTTACAACAGAGAGCAGACAGGATACACACTACTGGAGAAAGGGAAGTCTCTCCTGTAAAGGCACTGGGAAACTAAGTATCGATGTGCAGGAGAATGAAACCAGACGTCTATTGCTTACCATGTACAAAAGTCAACTCAAAATGAATCAGACTTAAATGTAAGGCCTGACACTATTAAACTATTAGAAGAAAACATAAGGGAACTGCTTCAAAACATTGGTCTGAGAAAAGATTTTTTGGATATCATCTCAAAAGCAAAAACTGACAAACAGCATTACCTCAAACTAAAATGCTTCTATACTGCAAGAGAAATAATCAAAGAGTGAAAGGCCAGATGCCGTGGCTCATACCTGTAATCCTAGTTACTTGAGAGGAAAAGATTGGGAGGATCATATTTCAAGGACAGCCCAAGCAAAAAGTTAGAGACCACATCTCAACACATAAGCTGGACATGGTGGTTTCATGCCTGCAATACCAGCTACCAAGGAGGCACTGGTAGGACGACTGTGGTGCCAAGCTGGCTAGGGCAAAAAGCAAGAGCCTATCTAAAAGATAATCTAAAGCCAAAAGGACTGGAGGCATAGATCAAGTGGCAAAGCACTTGCCTAGCAAATGTATAAATTTGAACTCCAGTCTCCACGCCCCCACCAAAAAAAAAAAAAAAGCATGGCTGGAGATGTAGCTCAGCCATAGAGTACCTGCATAGCATGTGCAAGGCCCTGGGTTTGATCCCCAGCACCACAAACCCCAGCACTACCAAAGAGAGAAGGGGGATGGAGGGAGAAAGGGAGGGAGGGAAGTACGGAAACAACCTAAAATTTCTGCAAATTATTCATCTGACAAGGGAATAATTTTCAGCATACATAAGGGACTCAAACAGCAACAGCAAAAAAATGTAATAATTTGGTTTAAAAATGGGCAAATAACCTGAATAAACATTTTCAAAAGAGGATATGAAAGTGACAAGCAACTATATGACAAGATGCTCAGCATCACTAATCATCAGGAAAACCTAACTCAAAAACCACAGTGAGATGTCTTGACACATCCTTCACTTCAGTAAGAATGGCTACTATCAGAAAGATAAGGACAGGGGCTGTAGGTCGGGCCCAAATGTTTAGCAAGCAAAAGTCCTGAGTTCAAACCCTGGATTCCCTCCTCCTGCCAAAAAAAAAGACAAAGACAAAAAATAAGGAGAACTCTTATATAGTATTGGTGGGAATGTAAATTAGTATAGCCACAATGCAAAAACAGTACAGAAAACTGAAATTGAAAAAAATAGAAATAGAACTCTACCATGTGATTGCGCAATCCCACTGCCAGGTATATATCCAAAGGAAATAAAATCAGTATATGAAAGAGACATCCGTGCTCCCATGTTTATTGTAGCACCATTCACAATGGTTAAGAAACAGCATCAACCTAGGTATCCACAGATGGATGAATGGAAAAAGAAAATGCGATATATACACAGATGGATAGATACCTAGATAGATAGGTAGATATGAATATAAATATATATACATATACATAATGGAATACATATGTAATATTCCATTTTTAATGGAATGTATATATATTATTCCATTATATGTACGCACATATACACACAAATAATGGAATTTATTTAGCCTAAGAAAGAATGAAATTCTGTGTTTGCAATAACATACATGGGACTGACTAGAGGGTATCATGTTAAGTGAAATAAGTGGCACAGAAAAAACAAATACTACATGATCTAACTTACACGTAGAAACTAAAAAATACATCTTGTAAAAGTGGCAAGTAGAATACTGATTATCATCAGAGCCTGAGAAGGGGATGGGGTGGAGAGAGAACAGTGAACAAGTACTGGAGTGTAGTTGGATAGGCAGAGTAACTTCTGTTCTACATGCACAACAGGATAACTATGGTTGACAACAACTTATTGTGTATTTCAAAACAGACAGCAGAGAGGACTTTGTTCCAAATATAAAGAAATGATAAATTTCTGAGGCAAGAGATATGACAAATACCACAATCTGACCGTTATGCATTGCATACATGTACTGAAATGTCACATGGTACCCAATAAATATACACAATTACTATGTTGATTAAAAATGTATTTTCAAAAATACTGTATGGCACTAGCATTAAGTTAGATATATAGACCAATGGAATAGAATCGAGAGTAAAGAAATAAACCCTTACATTCATAGTCAATTGATTTTCAACAGCTATCAAGACAATTCAATAGAGAAAAGATAGCCTTTTCAACAAATGGTGTGGAGATTACTGGATATCACAAGCAGAAGAATAAAATTGGACCCCTACCTCATTCCATAAACAAAAATTAACTCAAAATGGACAAAAGACCTAACAGTAAGAGCAACTATAAAGTCTTACTGGAAAACATAGGAATAAATCTTCATGACCTTGATTAGATAATCCTCTGGCATCAAGAACCCAAGAAACAAAAGGGGAAAAAAACACACAAATTCAGCTGGGCATAGTGGCTCACACCTGTAATTCCAGGACTCAGGAGGCTTAGACAGGAGGGTTGCCAAATTTGAGACCACCTGGGCTCCATAGTGAGACCTCAAGGAAAATTTTTAAATTTGCTATCATTGAATTTATCTATTCTTTTTCTTTTTTCGACACAGGGTCTCACTGTGCAGGCCAGGCTAGCATAGAACTCATGATCTTCCTGCCTCAACCTTCTTGACTGCTGGGATTACAGGCATGAGCCACTACACAGAATTTGCACATCAAATCATACTATTGAGAAAGTAGAAAGAAAACCCAGAGAACGGGGAGAAAGTATTTGCAAATCATGTAACCAATAAGTAGCTGGTACCTGAAATACATAAAGGCTTACAACTCAACAATAAAAAGACAAACTCATTTAAAAAAATAGGCACCTGATTTGAATAGGCATTCATCCAAAGACACACAGATGACCAATAAGCACATGAACACATGCTCGATGACACTGGGAGATATAAATCAAAGTCACAATGAACTATCACTTCACATTCACTATCATGACTATAATCTTTCTTTTTTTTAAAGGTAAGTACTGGCAAGGATGAGGAGAAATTGGAATCCTCATGCATTGCTGGTGGTGACACAAAATAGTAGAGCCACTTTGGAAAACAGTGAGGCAGTTCCTCAAAAAAAAATAAAATTAAGCAGTTACCATATGCCCCAACAACTCCACTCCCACATATACACCCCAAGAAAACTGAAAACGTACGTCCACACAAAAACTTATACACAAATACTCATAGCAGCAATATTCATGGTAGCCAAAAAAAGTAAAAACAACCTAAACATCCATCAATTATTGAATGAACAAACAAAATATGGTATTATCTTTATAATGGAGTATTATTCAGCCATAAAAAAGAATGGAGTAATAATACATGCTATGATGAATGATAATCTTATACTAAATGAAAGCCAGACACAGAAAGTCACAAAGTATATGATTCCATTTATATAAAATACCCATAATCATCAAATCTATTCAGACAGAAAGAAATTAGTGGTTGCCAGGGGTGAGGGATAGAAGGGAATACAGAATGTCTGCTTAATCCATACAGGGTTTCCTTTTAAGGTGATGAAAATGCTCTGGGATTAGACAGTACACCACTCTGTGCACACACTAAAGATCTCTGAATTTCAAGCTTTGAAAGGGTCATGCTTATGGTGTAAAAATTATACTGCAATAAAAAACAAGTTTGAAAGAACCACCATACCAATTATTCTCCCCAACGTAGCAAGAATGATCCTTTTAAAGCACAAGTTAGAGGATTTAATTCCTGGGCTCGGAACACTGAGATGGCTTCGTACCTCACTTGGAATAAAACTTGGTCCTTGCCTTAACCTACAGGGTTTTATGGAAATCTCCTCAGTCTATCACTTCATACCCACCTCACCATTTCTACTGTGGTCACACTGGCCTCCTGGCTGTTGGTTAGTGTGACGACATTCTTCTGCCACAGAAGAATCTGTCCTTGCTCTTCCTTTCCTCTATCTGGAAACTTTTCCCTATACATGCACACCTGGCACCAAACTCCAAACATCAATTTAAATATCACTTTTTTAAAAGACCTTACCTGGCCACCTTACTTAAAAATAGCACTCCCTTCCCTGCTTTATTTTCCTCATGAAATTGATCACAATTACGTACTAACATTGTATGACTACTTATTTTCTGTCTTACTGTACTAGAATGTAAGCTCTGTGAAAAAAGAAACTTGATTTTGTTCACAGTCATATATATTCCTAGAATCTTAACCAGTATCTGCAAACTAGTGAGTTTTTAAAATAATCTGTTCAATGAATGAGTCAATGAATTCAATTGAATGTGAAAGAACAGAAATTGACAACTAAGCTCCTTTGAGGTATTATCGCATCAGTGGGAACCTCTCACCTGTTCCAGGTTAGCATACTGCACACGGCAATAGCTGCAATATCCTTGTCTCTTCTGCATCTTGAGTAACCAAAGTCAGATGGCTACTCTCCTCCAATACTCACACTGCAAAAAATCATAACAATTTCTTACTATCATGACAAAAATTACTCAAAAACATACTGTTCTTCATTTGTATTTTGAGATAGTCTGGAACCTGCTATGTAGCCCAGGCTGACCTTGAACTTGTAATCCTCTTGCCTCAGCCTCCCAAATTCAGGCATTATAGATGTATGTCAACACACCCAGCTTCCTTGCACTCCTATTTCTAATAGTAGTTAAGAAAAATACATATTTGAAGATCTAGATGACTAAATTTCTTATTAATTCTCTAATAACACCAGTTACTAGGAATTGGTTCAGTAACAAATAATACACACAGTATTCACATTGTAAAGAGAATTTTTAAAATTTTTTATTAGGATATTTGTTGTGGGGGATTCATGGAGGCAATTCCAATCACGCTTGTATTATACATTAGTTACATCGCCCCCATGGTCTCTTCCCCTCAACCCTCTCCCCACCCCACTTAAAGCAATTGCAAGCAGTTCTTTGTTCTATTTCATATAGGTATATAAAGTCCATCTACCATGTATCCTCACCTTAATCTCCTTCATTCACTCTCCTACACACATACACTGTACCTATTTTATAGTTCTTTCATTATTAATGTTTAAGTTGATATTCCAAGAAGTTTCTCAGTATATCCCCACTGTGGGTACACTTTAGTCTGGTCCATTCCACCCCTTCCATAGCTCTTCCTTACCCCTTTACTTGCCATCCTCCCATTTTTCAACAGCTTTCAATGAACATATCCTTACATCCTCTACTTCACAGCTGTAATGTTTTATGATATTACTGCTTCTCTATCATTCTCTTTTCCTTTCCCTCTTTCCCCAAGCTCCATACTGAGGTTTGAACTCAGGGCTTCATAATTGATAGACTGGTGCTCTACCACCTGAGCCACTCCACCAGCCCTTCTGTGTTGGATTTTTTTCAAGATAGGATCTCACTTTTTTTTTGCCAGAGGCTGGCTTTGAACCTCACTCTTCCTGATCTCTGCTCCCAAGTAGATAGGATTATAGGAGTGAGCCACCAGCGCCCCAGCCAAGGCAGATTACTTTTAAGATATATTATATTTACTGTACTCTTATAGGGTACCTTAATTTTCCCCCAGGTTTCCATTCAAAATTCCACATTATGTGAACTCTCAGTGTTATATATAATGATATCTAATTCTCTATTATGGTGACAGTAAATGTAACACATGGCAGTTTGTAATAAACTCACAAAAGAGGTAACATTTTTGGATAATTTTGGCAGTTTGTAATAAACTCACAAAAGAGGTAACATTTTTGGATAATTTATCCAACAAAGTTGCTAAAAATCTGAATAATTAAATTAACCTCTAAAACACAAACCTTCCTCTTATGACAATTATATAAACCAAATAAACATTAAGATTTTTTTTTCCTATCAGTGCTTTGAGATTTCTCAGCAAATAGTTTCCACTCACCTAAAAACTGTAATCCTTCAACCTCATATACTGTAGTACTTCCCACACCAGACTGAATGCTAAAATCGTTCCTTAATATCTGAGTTAGTGTGCTAGTAAGAGTGGCTCAAACATGATAAAAGCTTTAGCACACAAGGGAGGGGTGAGGATAGGTAAGACACCTAAAAAACTAGCTAGCATTTGTTGCCCTTAATGCAGAGAAACTAAAGCAGATACCTTAAAGCAACTGAGGCCAATAGGAAAAGGGGACCAGGAACTAGAGAAAAGGTTAGATCAAAAAGAATTAACCTAGAAGGTAACACCCACGCACAGGAAATCAATGTGAGTCAATGCCCTGTATAGCTATCCTTATCTCAACCAGCAAAATCCCTTGTTCCTTCCTATTATTGCTTATACTCTCTCTACAACAAAATTAGAGATAAGGGCAAAATAGTTTCTGCGGGGTATTGAGGGGGGAGCGGGGGGGTGGAGTGGGTGGTAAGGGAGGGGGTGGGGGCAAGGGGGAGAAATGAACCAAGCCTTGTATGCACATATGAATAATAAAAGAAAAATGAAAAAAAAAAAAAAAAAAAAAAAAAGGTGGTAGTAATGAAGTAAAGAGAGTGGGAACCTTAAGACTATGAGGAAGAAATCAGTAAGAGGGCATAGTGCTATAGAAGGGCATTTTGGGGGCCCATGGGATTCTGAAGACCTTGCTCCAATGTGTTAGGGTAAGAAAGTTATGAGACTTGCAGGTCTGGATTCTAGAAATTATTTATTATTGCCATAACCTTTAAATAAAAATTGCATTTTGAACCTTCAAAAAAAAAAAGAGTGGCTCAAGTGGTAGAGCGCCTGCCTAGCAAGCATGAGGCCTGGTGTTCAAACCCCAATCCCACCAAAAAAAAAGTTAGTGGAGCTAAGTATAAGCCTAGGATTCAGAATTTTAAAAATTCCTCAGGTAATTTTGATAAACAGCTAATTTATTAGCTGACACAATGTATATAGAGTTATGCATATTTTAAGGAAAAAAACCTTCATTCAATTCAGTGTTCTTGCTGGTTTGTCAAACTAAAGTTTTACTTTCTGTTTGTTTTTTATTTTTGGTGGGACTGGGGTTTGAATTCAGTCTCACACCTGCTAGGCTCCTGAGCCACATCTCCCAGCCCTTTTGCCTTAGTTATTTTTCAGACAGGGTCTTGCTTTTGCCCAGAGCTGGCTCAAATAGGGAGCCTTCTACCTATACCTCCTTTTTAGCTAGAATTCAAAGTATGAAGTAGATACAAACTACAGGAGCAGCTTGTTTGTTGAAATGGTGGTCTCACTAACTTTTTGCCTAGGCCAGTCTTGAACCATCCTTCTGATCTCTACCTCCTAAGTTTTTAATTCTATTTTAAACATTCTTGTCTATTGGAAAATATGTAACAGAATCACTCTAAAATGTGTTATGAGTATTTTTTTTTTTTTTTAAATAGGGTCTCCCTATGTAGCCCAGGTTGGTCTCAAAACTCCTGATCTTCCTACTTCAGCTTTCCAAGCACTAGGATTACAGGTATGCACCACCATACCTGGCTCTGTTATGTGAGTACTTCTAGATAAGATTATTCTGCAACAGAAAAAGCTTCATTAAAATTAATGAGTGGAAAATGAAATCACATCTTAAAACCAAAAAGATGAAAATACAAAAGCTTCTTCAAGTCAAAATTCCATTATAACTACTTACCTATTTTTATTGAGAACCTTTATTTTTCTGACTTCCCACACTTATGGGGAAAATAAATCAATTAAACCAGCATCTGAAATATACATTGAAATTAATTAAAATTTGGTCTTTTTCCTATTAATTTAGATTTCATTTATTACTGTGAAGGCATAAAATGAGATAAATCTTGTAAATCATACAGATAAGGAAACTTTTAGGCTAAGAGAACCCTAGAGCTTAAACCTACACTTTAAAAATCATAACTTTTACATAACATAAAATTACATAACAGACTTTTTAAGAGATTTATTGAAAACAGTTAAAACATTCACTGAATGAAAATGAGTATAACATCACATGCACAAAAAATACTCTTATGTCCTATAAGCCCTAAGGCATCATTACCTGCCATTTCCATCATCCTTCATGCCATGACAATAAATTACAACAAATCAGAAGCTCAGCTGGTATTTTTAACAATACACATGCCAGAACCTCACCTGAAACGTGCCAATATGCCCAGTGTACAGGGAGGGAGAGCCCGTACACATGCATATTATGCACAACTAAAATACTCCAAGGTAGATTCTAAGTTATCACTTCTTATGAACTATTAAAATTCTTTCTTATTAACAAGATCATTTCTTTAGAGTCTGGGATTATATTACTTTGCATGACTGAATCAATGGGTCTTTAAAACTCTGATTTCCACTAGAACCAGATTTTTTTTCTTATAAAGTAACAAATGACTTACCTTGAGCAGAAAAAAGGCAGGTATTTCATCAGGTATATTAGCGTTGGCAAACATCTGTAAATTGAAATACGTTTTTAAAATGTTGAGTCCCACAAGTGTCGATAACTGACCCAACAAGCATCCCCACATCATAGTGAACTTTGAAAAGTGTAAACACACTCATGTTTTCAAATAACAGAAGAAAACACTAACTTTTGAACACAAAGCGCTTCAAGTGCTATCACTCACTGAACTTCACAACATGACTTCCTAAGTGTTCTGGAGCAGAGCGAGTGATGGGCCATCTAACCCACCATCATACACTTCTGATCTCTGGGTTCCAGGAGCAGTAGCTGTAAAGAAACATAAGGCGCAAGTGTGCCTCTAGTCAAGGTTAAGGACAAAGCTGCTATCGCTCGCACTGAACGGGCTTCAGGAAAAACTTTTAAGAAATACATTTGTAAAACTAAGATGGGTCCTGGATAACGACTCAACTCTCAAATATTCCGTTAGTTTTAATGAAAAAGACTGCGAATTCCTTTACTATGTACCTGAATCAATGGACAATTCAGCAGAATGACCAGTCTTTATTCTTAATTCCTCTGCTTTGTTGTGGGCAAAGTGTTCACCCTGCTCAGGACCACAGGTTTAAAAAAATTCCAACACTTGGGCTCATCAGAGCCAGTGACGGCGTTGTTTAATCAAAGCACACCTACTAAGCACCTACCCTGCGCAGAGTTCTGCTTTGAGGTACAGACAAAGGTGAGACAAGCCTTCTTATCATCTCCTCAGAAAAGGAAAATCAATGCAAGGTTGAAGCGGTGCCTGAATAAAAACGAGTGCTGGCTCAGGGTACACCTCAGGGGTTCAGCATGAGGTAGCTGGACAACTAACACCACAAAAAATAAAATAAGAGCAACAGTCAATTACAAAGTTTAGCTTTAGCAGGAGTGGCCAGGGATGTCAAAAATGGGTAATGTATGATGGGCTGGAACATGGCAGCACCTGCCCAGCAAATTCCAGTACTGCCCACTCCCCCCAAAAAAAATGTGTGTACAGTTTTTAAACTGTATTTTTGGAAAACTGGAAGGATTCACTTTAAGAAAAGGCCGGGGGGGGCGGGGGGGAAAAAAGAAAGGCCAGGAAAAGATTCCAAGCAACAAACATAAGTACAAAAGCACAGGTACATTTGGAGACAGTAAATTAACATGCTCAACTGAATCTAAGTTTTCATTTCAGAATTTTAGGGGCAGTAAAACAAAAAAGGTAAGCTGAGTTTTGACATGGCAGGATTCAAAAACAGACTAAAGAATTAAGACACACTTTAGAATGTGTATTTTTTTATTTTTGGAAAGAGATATTCCAACAGTACTTAAAATTCTAGAACAATGGCTCCCTCCTATTCAAAGGAGCCTTTCAAATGGTAAGGAATCTAACCGTTAAACTACTCAGCACCGTTTCCCAGGATACTGGAGAATTCGTTAATACTCAAAATGTCCAAATTGAAAAAGTCAGTATACCTTAAAGCATAAGTCTCTTTAAGACTTGTAAATAGAAAACACACATTTTATTTTTTCCCTTCAAAATAACTTCTATTGATTTTTATTACAAAAGCAAAACAGGTTTATTGTAGAATTATAAAAATAAAAATCATCTATAAGCCCACCACTCCCAATCAACATGTGTCATATAGCCTTTGTTCTAAACACATTTTTACAGAAAATGGAATGTACTGTACATTCTGTTCCCAGTTTCCCTGAGCCATGGGGTGAGGACATTTACATCCCACTGTATATAATTCCAAATCAGAATGCCTAACGAGTGCGTTGCATTTTATCAACGTAAGATGAAATCCCTCATTTGATAGGAACCAGCGGTTGTAAGATAATTTTTTAAATATATACACACTAAATATAATTTACACACACATAACCTTAATATTTTAACTTAAAACATGTAACTCGTGTGTAAGGCTGGATTGGCGTTTTTGCTTCATTGGTTTGGAAGGGGTTTTGGTTCTGGTTTTGTAACAAAGTAGAATTCCAAGTTATTTTTTTCCCAATAGCCATATCATAATTTATCCTCAACAAGTTTCCCTTTTTATTACTCTAAAACAGAGCAAGAACCTGAAGACATTTTCAAATCTGAGAGAATTATTAATGCTTAAAATTTTTCCCAACCTCTTAACAGTTGTCCTAAACACTTAAAGCTTTTGCAACAAAAGCCTATGGGAATCCAAAGCATTCCATTTATTTTCCATAAAAATTGCACTATTTTTAAAATGACAACATTCACACTCCTATTTCATTAGTTTTTGTAACATTTGAAATTGTATAAACTAACGGGGAAGTGAACAAAGATGTCTGAACTGTTCCCAATGCCTTTTTTTTCTTTAACGGAATGTTTCTTGCACATCTGACATCTGTGCAGGGTAGCGGTCAACACCAATAAAAATACTGTTGAAATAACTTTGGAGTTGCAGTGTGTGTTCCCAAGCTGACTGTGGCATTGAAATAAGAGCAAATAAACTCTAGAATCCTCATAGGAAATATTTTTCAATTGCCTGACAAAAGAGATAGCAACTTAATAGAAAATAAGAAGACAAAAGAAGGATATCTTTTCTTTTTAATAAGACAGCGTGTCATAGCAGCCCACATCTGTAATATCAGCAAGTATTCCTGATGCAAAAGGCTCACGATAAAAGTCCACGGTGTCCCTTTCTCCATAAAGCACTATTAACTAATTTTCACCTTTTCTTTCTTTCTTTTTTTTCCCACCCCTTTGGATTACCCATGCCATGCTGGTTTTCCTGTGTCGATAAGCATCGTGGACACTTCCATTCGGTCTTAATAAAATAGTAATAGCTGACCGTGAACACTTTAATCTGAGTCGGGGACCCAGTAACAGCCTCAAACGCACTATTTTCTCTAAATATCAAACAGCCTTAAAAGATACAAGGAGTGATAATTCCCACTTAACAAATCAGGAAAACTCGGGTTTATGAAGAGGAGGTATATTGTTTCAGGTCTCATACGAATAACCACCTCTCCACTTGTACAAAACGTTTGTGTGTTTTTAGAAATGTTTATTGTTTTAACACTTGATGAAAACAAGTAAGCAGGAACCAAACTGGGTGCATTTAACAGTGTCACTATTTCAAAAGCAACAACAAAAAAAAACAACGGGTAAAAGTAACATTTAGTTTAATCACCTTATTATTCCCATTCTGAGTTTGGATTCGTGACTTGGAATTTATTTAGCATGACACCATAGAAAGCGATGCATTTTATGTTAAAACCCAGCAATATACACAACACAGGCACACATGCGCAGTGAAACCAAGGCTTCCCAAACAATACCTTCCCAACGCGCCTTCTGGCGCTTTCCACGCTCCCTTCTCAGGAGCCACTACAGCAATGTCGCATTCTGGGGCTGCCGCGGGCTGCGGCGTGACCACGCGGCTCGCAGTGATTAGTGACGGCTTCCAGGGAGCCCGGTTGCTATCCGAATCCAGCTCTCTGCAGCCAATGGCCGGGCCGCTGCAGTGCGCGCCACCGTCCCGGGCCAGCTTCCCGTGGCCCTGCACGCCGTGCTGGCCAGCGGGACCGGGAACAGCTCGACGTAGCAACCGAACTATAAGTCTAAGTATTTGCTAAAAAGAAGGGGGCGGCACCCCGAAATTCTGAGTAGGCTCTGAGTGTTGACGGGGTGACGGGTTCTCCACCCCTACGCAGTACACAAGCGCGCTCACATAAACACAAATAAACCCGTAATGGACACTTCTCTTTGGGGACGAAAACCGCGTCCCGGAGTCGGGGCGCTGGATCCCCGAGAGGAGCCTTGAAGAACAAGGAATGACGACGAGGAAATTTGCCCGGATTCACACAACTAACTGTTGCACGACGGCAACAGTCGTCCTTAACGCGAAGAAAACAAAACAAAACAAAACGAATGGTGGCCCGTGTGCGGGGACGGAGAGTGGGGAGGTGGCTCGCGAGCCCACCCCGGGGACGCAGGAGGGACTTGGGGTGCCGGGGCCCTCGACCCGCTCCTCCCCCCAATTCGGCGGCGCGAGGCCGCGTCCACCCCCCCACCCCCGCCTGTCCCCGAGCCCACCTCCGCCGCCACCCGGCCTGGAGCCGCCGCGGGTGCGAGAGCGCGGAAGAGAGGGAGCCGGGGCCCCGCCAGCCGTCCGCCGTCCCCCCGGGATGAGAGGGCGCAGGGTGCCCTGCTGGGACACAGCAGGCCCCGCCCGCAGGCGTCGCCCGGCCGCGCGCCGCCCCGGCCCGCCCCCACCGCGGCTCTCACCTCCTCCGAGGCCGCCTGGATTCCTTCCGGGCCGCGGTGGAGCCCGCGGCCGGCCTGGGCGCTCGTCCTCCTCCTTCCTCCGCCGCTTCCCAAGCCGTCGCGAGCGCCACGGAGCCGGACACTGGAGTCCACGTCCACCCCTACCCCGGCCACGCCTGCTCGGAGAGGAGCGGGAGCGGCCGAGCCCGGAGCGCGTCTCGCCAGACGCGGGCTCCGAGTCACGACTGGGCTCTGGCTGGTGTCGGCTGGCGACGGCACCGCAGCCCCGCTGCAGGTTTGACGTCAGGGAAGGTGCGAAAACAGGGCCCCTCTGACGCACGAGCGCGGCGCCGCCCCCCGCCCCCCGGCCGCCCACCCGGCCGCCCGCCCGCCCGCTCGCTCGCTCGCTCGCGCGCCTGAGCCCCTTCCTCCCCGTCTTAAAGCGGACACTGCCTGCTGGCCAGGGCCCCGCGCTCAGGCTCGGCACCGCGCTCCTGCAGCGACCCAAAGGACTTAGGCTCAAAGCGCGGCCAGGTCGCCCTTGGACAGATGAAACAAAAATGGCCAAACAAAAAAAAAATGGCTCTCCGGTTCAAAGCGACACGCGAACGCGGAAAAGAAAGAGGGGGCACAAGGGGTTAATGGAGGCCCCGCTCCCCTGGGTATCCGCAGTGAGGTGCGTTGCACAAATGCAGCTTTTTAATGAGCACTTACTCAATGCTAGGCACTGTTAATTAAGGTTGATCTATATTTCATTTCATTTCAGAGTGATTGAGAAATGAACCCTAGGATCCCCTTTTCCTAAACGCTCCTTTAAGGTTAGGTATTCGAAGCCCTACACTGCACACGAAAGGGTTACGAATATTAACAAATATCCATCTGTCATTCAATTACAGTCACTTCTGTCCTCCGAATGCAGTGGTGAGCAAAACAAGCAGTTTAAGTGCAATGAGGGAGGCACAGACCTAAATTACACTATTGGGTACATAATCTGTGTTAAGAAAAAAAAAATAGTTTTCTGAAATGGAGAGGGCCTCCGCTGGAGAGCTTTGGGTTGTTTGTTGGCTTCGTTTTTGAGGCAGTCCTGCTATGTAATCCAGGCTGGCTTCGAACTCTATGCTCCCTGCTTGGGCGAATGTTGAGATTACAGACGTGCGCAGCCGCTGCCATGGAGAGCTACGTTTTACGTAAAAATAATCTTAGGAGTTTTGGAATGAACTACTTTTGCTCTTTGACTATAGCTATGGCCTTGCTCGGGAGGCAACCAAGGGACTAGCACAGGCTAGGCAAGCGCTTTACCCCTAAAGCTATATCCCAGTGCCTAGATTTTTTTTTTTTTTTAATGGTACTGGGGCTTAAACTCAGGGCCTTCACCTTGAGCCACTCCGCAGACCCTTTTTGTGAAGGGTTTTTCAAGATAGGATCTGACAAACTTTTTGCCTCTGCTGGCTTTGAACTTCGATCCTCCTGATCTCTGCCTCCTGAGTAGCTAGGATTAGGGCGTGAGACAACAGTGCCTGGCTCTGTATTTTTTTTTTTTTTTAACACCAAGTATATGCCGATTTCTTTTGAGGCAAACTCTTTCCACATCTCAACCTTGCAATTAGGGGGAAAAACAGCCATCATACATTAACCAATCCACCACGACGTAAAGTTTTGTTTGGAGACTTTGGGGGTGCGTAAAGTTTTTTGGGGGGTGGCAGTGAGATTTGAACTCAGGGCTTTCCGTTTGCTATGCATGCGCTGTACCACTTGAGCCACGCAGGCCATGATCTTCCTACGTATACCTCCTGCGTAGCTAGGAATTAAAACTCTCACCACCACACCCAGCTTTTTCTTTTAGCCTGGGGTGGGGGGGGGAGTGAGATGCAGTCTAACTTTTTTTTTGCCAGGGCTGGCTGTAAACCATCATCCTGATCCCTCCCTCCCAAAGTAGGTGGGATTACAGACACCCCCGGCGACATAATGAATTTCACAAACGATAAAACACATTTTTTTAATCCCCCACACTTGAATATTTGAAATCAGGATCCATCTTACAAACTCGGTATTGCCTCCACATACAAAAAATAAAAATAAAAAATAAATGTATGCTACTGCTTAGATCATCCTCCTTTCAACTGAGTGAGGTGCATGGTTTAATAAAACCCTGAAAGGAAGGGAATTATCTGACACTGGAGTTGCTCAAACTTGAAAAGAGATTTTCCTGAGGAAAGAGAACAGCGAAACTGGGAGTCCTGAGTTATTCACCAAGTAACTAGGAGCCCGTCCTTGACTAAACTATAACCCTAATCCTCCCCACTCCAAAAATAAAAAGAGTGAAATGACTTGGTTATTATTATTGATGTCAGAACCCGTCAACTATACCTCCTCTAAATTTCCATGTAAAACACCGATGAAGAGGGAAAACAAGTCCTGCACAGTACCTGAAACCACTGATACCTGGTTAGATAAGAAAGTGCTGGGGTTGGATGTGTGGCTTGAAACTTGGAGCACCTTAGAGCACCTGCCTAGCAAGCTTGAAGACCTGAGTCAGATCCTAGCACCACCACCAAAAAAAAAAAAAAGGCCTTCAAAACTTACAGAATTGAGCCAGCTACTGGGAAGCAAATCCTGAACTCAACAGTGGAGAACTCTTATGATACGATCATATTCCAACACTGTTAGTGGCACAGAAGAAAATAATTCTGTATAGAAAACAACAGCCACCAACAGATTCATTAAGTAATTCAAAAAAGTTGAGCTCTGAATATGAAGTTTTTTTAATACCTTAACTAGTTTTACTTATATTTTCTCTTTTGCATATACAAGATTGATATATAAACAATCCAAGTCAAAGTCTTAAAGTGTTCTTTTTGCAAGTATGAAAAAGTAAATTACAAAAAATCATTGTGTTGTGGTTAGCGATCAGTTTTTCTTCTAACATGATACTATAATAAAACATTAGAGGAAGTGTCATTCTGAATCAGATTTGCACCCCACCCACCATACATTTCTGTCTAGTATAATAGGTAGAATTTGTAGGGAAGCTTAATTATATGTAAGGTTAAGATTAAAAGGTTATAATTTCCCCAATTATTTTAAACCATTATAAATCTAAACTCATTTATTCAGCAAGTACTCTCCTAAATGACCCTAGGGACCAAGACTGTATTTGAATGCACTCCATTGCTTTGCTTCCCTCAGGGTACCGTGGGGCGGGGGAGGATCCTGTGTATGTGTTATCTCATATCCTTTCTTCCTTAAGCAACAATAAAACTACTCATTTATGTCCAGAAATCACCCTAACAATGCTTACATTAATGTAATGCCCTAAGGAAAAAGATGTAGGGAAAACCTAGATCTCATGGATGAATCATAAAACATTTAGATCACATCAACTTGGCGGTCTTATTATTTTTCCCCAAAATTCTGTTACTGGGCACTTTATTCTACCTAGTCATAGTCAGGTGAGGTCCTTATGAAGCTTTTTCCCGGTACACTAGCATTTTATGTCAATAAAGAGTGTATGTCCATAAGCCAGGTGCTGGTGGCTCACGCCTGCGATCCTAGTTATTTGGAAGGCTGAGATCGGAATGATCACTGTTCAAAGCTGGACTGGCAAATGATTTGTGAGACTCATCTCCAAAATCACCAGAGAAAAAATGGACGGAAAGAGAAAAATGAGCTGAAGGAGTAGCTCAAGTGCTTTGCAAGCAAAAAACCCTGAGTTCAAACCCCAATACTGCCAAAAAAAAGAAAAAAAGAAAGGCCATATGTCTGGCTGGAGATACTGCTCAGTGGTAGCCTAACATGTACATGGCCCTGGATTCAGTCCCCAGTACAGCAAAAACAAAAACAAAAGTGTATACATCATCTTCAAGAGTAAACAACTCACTAATATGTCCTGTCCAAATCATGATTTGAAAATCTACGAGAATGGTCACAAAACATTTCCATTTTGTTTTGTTGGCTCTCTCTGTAAAATAAACCAAAAAAAATCATTTGCAAGATGGTAATGCGAATGACTTCCCTAGCCTCCCTGGTTGGTGAAACAAAAAGGATGGAAAACATGTAGGTGGCTTAGAGTTACAGAGGTATGGGATGGACACACGAAGGACAGCATAGTAACTAAGTGTGGGGACAGAAGTACACAGGGGAGACCATGACAAGCTGAATCCACATCCATCGCCAGGAATTTAACACGCATTGTCTAGAAAATCAGCAGATAACCAAGCAGTGATCTAAGCCATCTTTATCAACACCTAAACATAAAATTAAAAAATAAACTTTTTAAGTAGTTACTTCTGAATATCAGAAGATTTGGGCAAAGGAATATCAAGGCAAGGGACTACAAGTATAAGATCACAATGAGATCTGTCCTTTCACCTCCTCAATCGAAAAGAATGCACAATGACGTTTTTACTATGATCTTCCCATCCTATTCGTCCTTCAAACGTCCTTTCTACCTCTACATTTTGTGCATATACCCACAATACACCTTCTTCATACCAACAATAGTTGTGGCTTTGTTTCCAATACTTCTTCAGCAATTCTTAATGTATTCTACTCCTTTCCCCCTTTTTCATTCTCTCCTTCCCCTCTTTTGCTCCTGCGCATTCATTTTTCCCCCTTTCATTCCTCTTTCCTTGCTAGTAGAAACACGATCTGTAATCCTAAAATTAGGGCTTTTAACTTCTGGAAATAACCTGGACTGAAAATATTACTAACCTCAGACTTTGTTCCTTTCTTTAATTTAAAAATCATCTACAGCAATGTCCCCTGAGTGTTAACTTTGAAGAAAGAATTACTATTGCCTTTTCATACAATAAGGGCATCAGTATGAAAACTACTGGTAAGGCTTTCCCTCTATTGAAATTCAGTTCTTTTTTTGGAGGTCCGATCTTGGCCAAAAGTTTGGTGTGCACTCTGTCACCTCTTCGTTAGTTGTCTTAGCACAGCTGCTCCTTCACAGTACTGTGCTGG